CACTGTGAATTTTGTTGAGGTTTTCCATATTTGGAGGAGACTCAAACCCTGCCTGTTTTGGTTTTTTGCTGAACCAAATTTGTAACGAGAGAAATCTCGTTTTGAATGACTTGCTTCTTAAATCTGGATTTTGGGAATTCTGATCTGGAGCTGGTTTCACTTGAAATTCAAGTGGGCTTGTTGGTTGATTTTGCGGAACTTGTCTTTTGACGGTTTTCTTATGTAGGATCTTTGTTTGATTGGGTGATGAATTTTTTGTGTCATTTACCCTGTTCACTCCTCTTTGTATTTATAGTGAAAATTAATAATGGGCGGCAAATCTCTTTCAGAAGATATCTCCCCCCTTTTTCTCTTTTAAAATGGAAAGAAAGAAAGTAGGATTTTATCAGTTTTGGGAGATAGGCTTTCAACATATAGGCAATCACTTCCCTGTTTTTCTTGAGAAAGAACCTAATCTCTCTTCTTAATTTCAACTGCCCCTTGTGAGATTTCACCCGTGATGGTTATTTCTGGACAGCTCCCTACTTTCCTGCTTATCTCTCTCTGAGCTTGTAGCTTGCTTATCTCTTTGGGAGAATTACCCTCTCTGTAGAGTAGAAGAAAAATCTCTAAATATATATATATATGTAAGAGGGATTTTGATCTTCAGATTTTTTCAGGGTTTTTTCAGAACAGCTTGATGACATAAACTTTTCAATCACTTCTTTCATGACAGTTGCCATTGTTGACTTTTCTTCATCCCAGAGATGTCACGTGGGATTGTTTCCTGTCTCTGGGCTTCCCCCTTTTTATCACAACGGGCCTGTGAGGCCCAGGCTTTGGACTGGGCTTTTCTAGATTTTGGGCTTCTAACTTCCTGTTTCTCGAAGACCAAATTGCTTTGATTTTTTTTACAACCTTATTCTGGGACAGTGTTACCCGAAGTTTATATTTTGAATGATTTAGGATGGAAGAATCTTCAAGAATCCATTCAAATCTGCTTTCTTTTGAGCCATTTTCATGGGCTGGGGTTGGCTGTTGTTGGTTTTCAGTTTTTGTTTTGGTCCAATAAGTGCATCAACTTTGTTGAGTTATTGATTTGTGGTTGTGGTTTCTCTTCGGGTGAGTTTGGGTTTATAAGTTGCGTTATGGGTTATATACTTGGTTATTATAGATTTGAGGTGATTAAGCCCGACTGTCTGTGGCCTTGTGTGGCATTAAGTTGGTCCTACGTGGCTTTAAGTGGAGGTGTACCATATAAGTTTGATGTTGTGATTAGATTCCCCAGTGTTTGGTGTAGCCCTTCAGGGGCGTTTGTTCTAGCCCTTGAGGCTTTTGTATTTGTACTGCACTTATGACGTAATTTATAAATGCAATCTCTTTAGCGTTTGACAAAAAACGATTGCAAATAGTGAGACTGAAATGGAGAATACAATGAGCCCAAGAAGAAACAACACAAGAACCTATGGTTGATGTTTATACCATATTTGACCAAGCAACTAGAAGCAACTCTAGGCAAAGCAAAGAGTTTATACCATATTTGACCAAGCAACTAGAAGTAACTCTAGGCAAAGCAAAGAGTCCCACATTGGAATATTACAAGAAGTGAAGGCTCCCCCTCATCTATAAAAGGAGACCACTCTCCCCTTAGAAAAGGATCCCTTGGGCTGGGCTTGATCTTTAGTCATGACCTTCTTCTTTCTTACATTTAAGTTTGGGCCCAACCCCATGTACAAATGTAAATACACAATATTATAATAATGAAAATATACTTCTCCGTGCCATTCATTAAGGGTGAACCACGTATATCTTGTCTTCTGTATGTTTATCGCTTGCTCAAATCCTCACACACTTGGTGAAGGTCCTCACCTTCGCCCATCATCCATCACACCTCATCAGTAAGTTGGGCTCAAAAGTGCCGAACCATTTTTGAGCGGCCAAGTTTGCTTGGGCTTGGATGGCCTTGCCAGCTTCGGCAACCTTTGCTCTGCCGTCTTCATATGCCTTCTTCGCCTTCTCAGCGGCATTAATGGCTCGCTTAACGCAGAGCCACATGTCCATTGATGCCTGCACAGCAAACGAAAGCGTTAGAAGGAGACAGAAATGAACGGCACGGAAACGCTAAAACCAGTAGGCACTTACCGAGGCTTGGAGACGGAAGGCGCGGCTAGCCTCCTCCCGAAGTAGCTTCTTCGGCAGGGCCCCCATTCTCGGCAAACCC